TTAGTTCACCTACATTTTATTTAGTCATATATTCCTTACCACCTTCAGATTTGGAGGCCTTTGTCGGACCATTTCTGTGACTTTCTGAAACTGACAATACAATATTCTCACCCACTTCACACTGTGATTGGCCAGCTATGAAGAAGTGTGAAAGTAAGCTGGGTTTGAACTTCTTTCCCAAGCTTACTTTTTTCATTTGTTACAGCTCTTTGTGGCACTTTTGGTGTGAAGAACAAAGTGAAACACTATGAATCCCTTCCAGGAATGTTGAGAGACCCATTAACGTCACCATCTTGGTTTTTGGAGCCAGAACTGACTATATTTAGAATGCTAAGTTATCAAGTACCGCTAGCTAGCTTAGCAATGTGCATCCATAGATTGTATGGATACCTTAAAGATACCTGATTAGTGCGAGCTAATAAATAAATAAAACATTAGGATTTCACTCATCAAAACTGGAGCACAGACTTCTTCTTAACTGTCAGATAATTGTTCTAAAAACATGTAAAAGGCCCTAACAGCCCAAACACAACAAAAGTCCAATTTAGTTAGCTGAGGTGACACATTGGCTACATAACTGCTAGAAAATAAAAGCAAATACATTTTAAACTGGAAAATTTTGAAAAAAAAAATCCATCCAGCTGTTGTGTTTTGCACCAGCCTGTAACATGTTTATTTGGACATTTTAACATGGCGTCTGTGAGGATTCAGTCACGTTTGGAGTCAGCCATTTGAGCTGCACTTTTTGGCACTTTGTGCTGGCTTCATTTTTTCAACTGCAGTGGTTGCTGCTTGCCACCATCCCACTAATGCCTGTTATTTCAATCTGCCTGTGAGCTTGCCTGAACAACTAAAACAGGTTTTTATTCCAACAAGATTGACAGAAAGCAAATAACTGTTTCTCTCAAGAAGTCAAACTATAATTTTAACATCTTCAGGCCTGCCAGTTTTACTTTAGCAAACATGCTGTAATCAAGACAGAGAATCAGTTGTTTTGATGTGTCCTCCTACCTGTGCCTGTTGCTGCCTGCACGTAGGGATTGATCATCTAACCTGGTTGTTTGTGCTCTTTGGTGCAGCTGCGCTTTCATTCAGTTTTTTTGGGATAACTCCCTTTGACATGTGCATGCTTATTTCTGGAGACATGTTAATCCCCTTCCTTCCTTTCGTCCAACCTCCTCCTGCTCTCTTTCTGACTTGGCGTATCACTCTCTCACTGTGGTTGTTTGTAATGAGGGTTTGGTAAGGGCCTTGTCCTTGACTGACTGTCTGTGGGAGGGAGCATCTGGAGTGTATCAAGAAAGGGTGGAGATGGGTGGATGAGTGGACAAAAGACAAAACACAAGCTGACCGCTGCTCAAAACGCTTGCAGGCACTGTGGGAATTGTTTTTGTGTGTGTGTGCATGAGTGTGTTTCTGTAATGTGTTGTTACCTGTGAGCTCTCTGACTATGTCTTCTCTGCTGGTGCATTCACTTTGGTGTTAAGGCATAATTTACACTCGGATCCCTCTAGTAGGCATTAATATTTACAGCAAATTTCTTTTCAGAGTGAGTCAGGAGGGGCTTCACTGCCTTGCAAAATTTGGCGTTAAAGTAGCATACATCTGCTGTCAAAGAGGCGTGACATGAACAACGGCACTACACTTAGCACTGGAGAGTGTCGGTGTATGCATGGCTGCACAGAGAGGAAAAGTGTTGGACTCAGAGAAATGGATGGAGAGAGCAGAGAGGGTCACTCAGCTGAAGTGAGCACTCCAGTGGCGGAGGGGACATTCATGAACTAATGCAGGTCACCTCTATAACAAGGCAGAAGAGCATTTACACCCACACCGTGGACAGAAAGAGAGGGGGAAAGAGCAAAAGAAACACATTCATATGCGCAAACACAATCCCGCCAGCCTCTCCTTCCATAATGACGCTTTGTCTACTATATTGTCTCCCCCTTTTCTCTCTCTGAGTATCAAACCACTTTCCACACAAACAGCAGAGGTGCCATCAGTAACGGAGAAGAGTGTTTCTCTTTATCTGACAGACCCTACTGTCACATTTTGGATGAATAATACACACATGCAAAGAGGAGGAGGATACAAGGGACAAGGGACAAAATGGAGGTAGAGTTATCGAGCAGAGCGAGTAAAAAAAATCAGAGTGGAACAGGAGGACGTAAGAGGCCAGCGTGCATTAACGCAGCACTCAGGCTCAGATTGCAGACTCAGCACTTCGTCAAACTGTCAGGGACAAACTTCGAGCATCTCAGCCATCGGATGGACCAATAACGGAGATGCTGTAGTGCTCTGCGCACATAGAGTGGGCTGTCTGAGAGTTAAATAAAGGGGCTTTTACTGCCAAGTGGACCTGCCAGTAAATGTCCCTCTCTTTTGTTCATGGTTGTCTCACGCACACACAAACAGACGCGCACCAGAGCCACGGTGCCCAAGCTCCAACTAATCTTTGAAAGGTGTGCATAACACACCACTTCAACGCTAATCTTAGGATGCCATGGTGAATTATTCAACATGCTAATGTCACGCAATGAGACATGCATGAAGCACTTTGAACGCTCCTCCATGTAATCTTCATGTACAGGTTTATCCCGGGAAGAAAGAGCGGAGGCGATGTAAGGACCTCTGTCCCCAAGGCCCAGCGACAAGAAACTAAATAGTAGAGGCATAAATATTAATGTCAAAAATAGTTTGCTCCGTGTTATTTATGCATGACTGTGCCCTGAAGCGGAAGGTTAATTGAATTTGGAATGACACTTTTGCAGCATTTGTGTCTGTTGCTTATCTGATATAAATCAAATGGTGCTTAATGAGGTCACATATAACATGTTAGTCAATCTGACAAACTGAAGATTATTTTTCGCAGGGCCAAGAAAGTAATCAATAATGAGTTTGCATGCCATCACGCACAGCTGGAATGGCACACCGTTTCCAGCTGGAGTCAAACAAAGCCTGAAAGGTGTCTCACTAATGGACACTGTCAAAATTCGAAGGTTTAAACATCCCTGGCTTGGTGAGTTTAGCTTTCTTCCTTTAGCTGATTTTATCCCAATTGCCTCCAAAATTCCACTAGCCAAGCTTCCCAGACGTGCGCGGCACTAAAAACTGTTTATTCTGATGCCTGTGGCTGCATATGATCCTTAGCTGTCACAGTCTATTTGTATTCTCTTCTTGATACAATTCATATCACTCCAAATCCTGGAGAACTTCCATGGAAAAATGTGTGAATTTACTAAGAGTGACATAAAGACCAGCCAGTGGGTGAAAATGGATAGACAGGCTGAGGGGTTTGGAAAGGGGGGAAAAAGAGAGGAGGGAAAGGAAGGCTTGAAGCACAGATTTGCGGGGTGTCCATCTGTGACTATAATCCGAAAAAATCTGTTTACAGAGCAGTCAGAGAACAGTAGGGGTGGGGTCGATTCATGTCATGAGACACAAATAATATAGTTTTCTTATTATTTGTTTTATTTATTGGGCATGCGACAGGATTGAGTGTGCTCACGGTGCCACAGAGTACTTCTGTGTTTGACTGGCAGAAGGAGAGAGACACAATGTATCTATTGGTGTTTTGGTGGACCGGGGAACCTTTTCAAATGCCCGTGTGCGAGTGCTGATTATGTAGATAATATTTTTCTGCCACCCTTTGTCTGGCTGTCAGTGAGAGAGGCAGGAAAAAAGAGAGGCCCCTTTTCTCTGGTGAATTATTGTGTGACACGCAATGGAAGCAAAAACATAAAAATTGTATAACGACAATGAGAAGAATTATTTATTTGTAAACAGAGGCGAATGCCGCGGGCCTCCCACAATGTCTTGTGTGTATACGTGTCTACAGCCCTTTAGTTGATTAGTATTGTGCTTGATGCAATCAGGCACTGAGCGTTTTCCTCCATTACCTCCATCTGTGCAAGCATCCTAATCTGAAGTCTGATGTTTTTGGTACCTCTGCGTGCACGACAAACTTTGGCCCGCGTTCAGTCGGTGGCTCTTGAACAGCACCGAGCGCAGACTGTGCCAGACTGAAGGAGCGGCAGCCACCACGGTTTTGGAATGCTAATGGAAAATTCAAGGGCTTCAGTTTTTGTGTGGGAAGCTGCCATGTGTCAGCACGCAACACTCAGCATTAAAGTCACTTTGCATGTGTGTGTCTGTGTGCGTAATTTCTTTGCCAGCTTGCTTTTTGAAGCACTTAAAGCAAATTATGGGAAAACACACTCCAGCATAAAACTCATATGCTATTCTTGTGCTTTCGCTCTTGATCAGGGTTAATGAGCAAAACCTGCAACAAAAGAGGAACACAGAACATATTAACTGCCCGAAACATGACGAAGGTTCCCTTTGGGACAAGCTATGAAAAGCATCAGCACGGGAAGTTTCAACAAATTGTGACAGTAACTGTTATGGCCTTTTAAAGTTGGGAAATTTGACCTTTAATCACAGTGCCCCATCAGGTCAATCAGTTTAATTTTTCAAACACCAGAATAGTGTGCCAGAGTGCATCATCACTTTATAGCAGTCATTAAATTTGACAGATGCACACAGCTGGAGCTCTCCTGGATTTTATTGGATGTGGTGGGAGAAAAATCAAAGAAAATGGGACTAATGGTTCCAACAACTTGTGGTATTTTACAAAAGGAAAAAAAAAGGATTAATTATACAACCGCCTTCAAAAGGGATACTCTGCAAAGTGCTTTTCTGCTTCAGTTTCACTGGAGCAAATCCATGTTTTATATGTTTTTATGGCCTCACAGCCTCACACACTATTTGGTTTTCAGTCCTTCAGAGAATATCTCATGATTACAAATTCTGTTTAACAGTCACTTTGCTTTTATAGCACCGACTCCGTTTCTCAGTTAAATTCTTGAGCTGAAATCAAAGTTTAAACTGAAAGCTCACGCACACGTCTGCCTGTTTTCTTTGCGTTAAAATGAAAGCATACGCAACTGTTTCCTGTCTGTTTTTTCTAACCTTTTCTTTGTCTCTGCTTCTTCGTCTCACAGTGATGCTGCTGGACACAACAGAGTCTACCTCAGAGCTGGGCTGGATCACCTATCCAGATACGGGGGTAAGCAGGGAGCTGAGTGTCAATGCGTTTTCCAGCTGTTGCAGCATTAAAGCCATCTGTAGAATGTTTTATACACGTGTCGCACATGCTGATGTTTGAAGTGTCGGGTTATAATCGCATTGTTAGTCGGGCCTTGTGCTGTAATGCTAATGAGGGCTTAAAACAGGATGCTATGAAATAATACATTTAGTTTTATAACGTTTTTCATCACTCTGTCAGGCAGCTGGTGGTAAAGTTTAGACATTAAATCGATAATGGTGATAAATGGTACAGGACTGCAACTGATATTCGTTTTAATACTGATCGATTTGCTGTTTACACTCTGGATTTATTGCTCGGCACATGCGGGTTAGAAAATAATGGAAAGCCAAGGATGTTCATTGAACAACAAGAAAATCTTGATTGATTTTCAAAATTCATTAGATGCCAGTCACTAAACTCAGATAAAAGTCTTTTGGGTGAGGTTGAACAGATTGAAGATATTGGAAATGTCAGATCTGTAGACATGTCGTGGTGTCGGGGTTTTGTTTTGTCTGTGTTGTGTTTTGGTTTGTTACGCTGGCTGGTTTTATGGTTCTTCCAGTTTCTCTGGTCTCTGTCGTCACATATTAATGTTACCTTTCATGTCTCAGTGTTAGCCACGTTCATTTCTTTCTGTTGTGCCTCGAAGGTGAGTTTTCTCCAGAGTCTTGCTCTAGTTTTACTTCCTGTTCCGCTCATGCCTTTGGGCTTTTATTCCCCAACCTCACCATGCATCCACCGTGGATTGTTTCCACCTGTGTCCTTCTATCACCTGTGCCTTGTTATTCAGTCTATTAGGTTTGAGCTACTGTACATTCAGTTAATAAAACACTTTAAGACCAGAACAACAAACATATGCAGACAACTGCCTTCATGAATGATCAGTTTGTTTGGTTATCAACATCTGTTGATGAATGTAATCCACTCCCCACCATCTTTTTACTTTCACACATAAAAATCAAGCATGGATGGTGCTGTATTAACTTTTGTTTCTGGGACTTTTTGAATAGTGGAGAGATTAGAGTGACTGAGATGTGCAGCAGGCCTCCACAACAGCACTTGGAGTTTACAGAAGTCGCAGATCAAAGATTATTAAGAATTAGGTTATAAATGCTTTATGTTTAGTTATGGCTTGAGGTAAGGATTATTATCTTCCTGAATGGCTGGCATATGTCACTGGTAATACCTCAAGAGCGCTGAACACAGTCTTAGACGGGGCAGGAACTCACCTTTCCTTTAAGATAACCTTCAAGGTCTAAATGCTCCCCCAATTCTTTTTATCTGTTGTTCTACTCCACTGTGTGTGTGTGTGTGTGTGTGTGTGTGTGTGCGTGTGTGTGTGTGCCGTCATTCATAATTAAACTTCTCAGATTCAGCCGTAGATCTCCCATCTCCCTTTTGAGTTGATTTGTATTCAAGGTTGTTGCTTTGCCTTGAGCTGTGTAAATATATGTGCGTGTGTGTATGGAGGTTTGGGGGAGGAAGGAGGAGGTCACTTGCGTGACTGTGCGAGGGTCAACTCCTGGGGGCCAATCCGATTGTTAAATTCATTCATTTCTTTGTGACTGCATCTCAGTTCTAATACGGCTCGTAGTTACACCCTTCCTACCGAAACACTACATTGATGCATCTATTAGACTCTGTTTGAAATGGACATCACCTGTTCAACCACAACAGGCTGAATGCTAAACATTTATTTGTTACTTTTGGCAGAAAAACAAACAAAACAAAACTGAGTTGACTCTTGTGACCAGTTATTGTCAGGATGGAGTCTAATAGCTACTAACCAACATCTGGCAGGAATACATTACCACCCTCGTCTGGCCTCCAGTGTCAGAGCATAATTGTACATGATGTTTGAATAATTAGGGCCTAATGTGTGTTAGGAACTTGTGAACCATGATGGCAGCTGCTAATAGGAGAGCATCCAATTGTGTTTGAGTGTGCGTGTGTGTGTGCATGAGCAAGTCAAGCATTTGCATGAGTTTTTTTTTTCCTTTATAGTCCCTGGTTGAGAAGTGCTTCTGAGATGGAGATATGGTTATTTGACCCGGGGCATCAAGCTGAGAGAAGTAGAAAGACAGACCAAGAAAGGGGGATCGAGCGAGAGAGGTTGTGTGTGTGTGTCTTTGTGTGTGTGTGTTTTCTTTTTTAACCCCTTCCACACACCCGATCTCTTCTTTTGCTTTAGGGTTTGTGGATATTCTTTAATGTGTTTTCTCTCTTCCTGCGCTTTCTTTCTTTCTTTCTTTCCCATTTTTACAGTGTACTGACAAGCATCTTCATCTCTGCCTGTTTTTCCTCCCTCTTTTAATTTTTTCTCCCTTTGCCCTTCACAGCCACAGAGCCACTGGGTCTTTGCCTCATTTTTTTTCTTTTTATCCCCCAAGTCAGTCTCCACTCTGCCCCCTTATTTTTCTTCAGTGTCAAACCAGCAGAGACTTCCAGTCTCACTGCAGACTTTCCTTTTTATTTTTTTCCCACCCTCCTGTTATTTTCACTCCCTGCTCTTCGTTTTTGTGTATAAATATGCGCATGTGCCTTTCTCTGCTTGCGTGTATCTGTGTCTGTGTGTCCACGGTTGTGTCCGAGGCCCTGCCCCTCCCTGTCCTCTGTCACTGCAGAGGTTGCGTGGCTCTCTGGCATTTCGGTTCAAATTAAATCACTAAGATGAGTCGTCCCTATAACAATTCATCCGCCCCCTCCTCCCCAATCTGGCCCGTTTTTTTCCTCCTCTTTTTCTTTCTTTCCTTTATAAGAGAGGAAGAAAACAAGACTTGGAAAAATAGGGAAGGGGGCAGGAGGCGAGGTGGGAGTGAGGTGGGGGTTTAGGGTCAGAAAACAAATGAAAGCTGTGTTTTTTTTCACAAAGGTACAGAAGCGAGCTGCACGCGATGCCACACACGAACAACGGCGGCTTCTCTTTCCACCTAAAAGTCCCTGCCTGGCCACATACTCAGCATAGCTTTTACCGCACCGACCGCCGCGTGTCACAAAAAAAAAATGCTCATACACTCATACACTCTTTCTGTTTGCTATTTTTCCCACATTTCTACCTCCACCATCCGCATCCCTGCATCCCACCATGAGCTCGGTGTGATCCCCCTCTTTCGTCCGTTTTCCCTCATACACTGGTCTGACAGAGTGAACCAAAGCCTGAGAGAGAGAAAACTGCCCTTTCACTCCATTAGACTGACAGCGACTCCGGCTCTTTCTATCTGCTCACTGATCTTATCATTATTTCAGCTGGACCAAATATGAATGCACTCTCTCATGGTGCGATGCTCAGTAGATTTCTGTTCACACTGGCTGTCAGAGCCACACAGAGAAAGAGACATAAGCATGCAGAGATACACTAACATGCACAAACAGTGATTCACACACTCTAAATACACCCTGATAGGGTGTCAGGACCTTTTGTCCTCTTGCCATTGTCATAGGGAGAATAATGATGATGAGGCCTAATACATAATTCCTCTGTGTTACAACAGAAAAGGCCCTGCTTGTCACTCAGGGCTACACAGGCTTAAAGCAGATCCTTTTCATCCTTCAACGCAACGCACTGTATAATTGGTGAAACTAAAGCCTGCGGCTACATTAACATTTTGTCTCATCTTACAAAGTCTCATCCAGAGCCTTGTCTCCGGGCTGCTTCATTTTCTCCATGCGCGACTCTCTTTTACTCACATCCATTTGCGCATCTACCGTGGATTTATCTTCCCTAAAAATGCAACAAAATCTGCTGATTTTATTGCACAACAGCTGCCCTAAGTCAGGCACACAAGTGTCTGCCACCTGTCACATGTGAACAATGGTGCACATGCAAATGCCAAAACTAGTGCGAGAGAAAAAAGCACGTGTCACTGTATAATACGCATTAATTGCTATTATAATACAGCATTATACTAATGTAACATATTAAAATTGCAAAGTGCCAGCATCGCCCGTGAACTTCTTTCTTTCTTTCCTTTAGATATGTCAAGGCATGAAAAAAAAGTTTATCTCTTTCAGATGTGTCTCTGATAATTCGGCCTCCACCTCAGAGTAACAGCTGCGAATAGAATTTATTTTTCATCTGAGCGTCGAAGAAATTCTAGCATCAATATGTCTTTTCACAGGCGTCCTTGTTGCTCTGTATTTCGTACTTTGTACTAAGGTAATGGTCCACTGACATTATCTTCTGTTGATTAACAAATATAATCAGTGCAGACTTTTTGAAAACATACATTGATTATCTTTTTTTTTAACATGAGGGATGACGGTCATCGCTTCAGTCCAATATCTCAACAAAGTTTGGGTGAATGAAAGTACAGAAATCCATACTCCCCAAGGCTTCACAGCTGAAATTACTGGTTAACGCTGCAGTCACACCAGGGAAAACAGTGGCTGAAGACCAGAAGTACAACAACTGTGACGATAAAATTATGACCTTAATACCTTTGGTTGCTTTGAAGATGGGGACCAGGTCATCTTCAGAGTGATTTTGGTGTGTCAAGAAGGTGATTAAAAAAGGTCTGCTATCAGTTTGCAACAGAATGGAGTCAAGTTGGCAGTTACATGCAGTTAGTTTGTGATATGACATCGATGAACTGTGACTAGTCTTGTCTACATACACAAGTCGAGTCAGAACCTCACAGATCTGAAACAGAAATTTAGAAATTCCTCCACAAACAGAGACGCAGATGCTGCAAAACTGCAAAATCACACTTTGCACACTTTGATATAGGAATATAACCAGAATACAACTGGTGCAGTCTAACCCGGACTGAATGCAACATGTTGGGAATCTGTCTGCGTTTATAAATTAGGTCGGAATTACTTCCAAACCTTCGCCGATCTGAAAGTGAATGTAGTCAGTCCAAGTCCTGACCATGAGTGTTTGGAGACAGGTTCATTACGTGCATTAATTATTATCACATTTGATAAACCTTACTATAATGAGCATATATATGTCTGCATCTATTCTCAATAGGTGGACCAATCTGATCGTCACATACAATCCCAATTCTTGTATATATTATGTTTATTTCAGCCACTTTAAGCATGTTTAGTTTTCACTCATGAGGACAAGACTATAACATTTAAATTTGTTGCAAGAATCCGTAATGCAATTTTCATCAATAATAACTGTGTAGATCCCTCGTTGTCAGGTCACAATCAGGTTCTGCAACATTTAAAAGCATGCATACAACACAATTTTCAAAAATACTTCAGTGTAGAGACATTAAAAATGCAAAAAAAAAACCCCAAAAAAAAACAACCATTACAAAGATGGTGCAGTTGAATATGTCAGTTAATGATAGCTTTTCTGTGTAATGTCATCATGCTACCATGCTAGAATAAGTACCAAATAATAGCTAGCTAGAATGCCAATGTAAGCATTTAGGTCAAAGTGCTGCTGTGCATCAGTTCCTCTCAGTCTTGTTAAATGTCACTTTTAAGCACCACAAACAGGCAAAAATCACCAAAACCCTAAAGCCTCAAAGGCTTTACCACAGTGAGAGCTGAACCGTCCCTGTTAACACAGTTTTGTCTTCAACACCTGAAACATGTTGCTCTAAATGAAAGGCTGGAGCTGTTTAATTAAATTACTGTTCTTTTAATCATTGATTAAGTAATTAGAGAGCCTACTCTGCAGCACTATAGAGGCGACCTAGATCAGTGAGGACAGGGGAAAAAAGCTTTTCCTTTGATATTACAGCAAAAAAACCAAAAAAAACCCAACTGCTCTATCAGACTTATCTCAAGTAGCCTCTATAGAGAACACCCAGTGAAGGACAAGGCTGATGTCAGCAACAGCAGCAATATGTTCAATATTTACCTTGTAAAATGTAAACCGCCTTCTAAGTCATGAGTAAGATTCATGGCTGTGGAAAAGTCATAAACATACCGGCGTTTTAACAGTTTATACAGGCCTATTCTGGAGCCCTGTGCTTATAGTTTTATTTCTGTTTTGCTGAGCTCAGTTTACACAAACTCATAATATTGTTTCTGTCTTCCAGTGGGATGAGGTCAGCGTCCTGGATGACCGAGGGAAGCTCATACGAACCTTTGAAGTCTGCAATGTCAACCAAAATCCTCGTCAGCAGGACAACTGGTTGGCTACTCCTTTCCTGTACCGCCACTCGGCTCCACGGGTGTTTGTCACGTTGCGTTTTTCTGTGCGAGACTGCGCGAGCCTGCGTTCACCGTCGCCCGCCTGCAGGGAGACACTCACTCTATACTACAAGCAGGCCGACTCCCAGAGGGAGCTGGAGAGGACTTGGGTAGCTGAGGTAAGGTGACACACTGGAGGAGCTGCGATAATGCATTTAATTCTAAAGATGATGTATTATACTGTTGTTAATTTTCTGTCAAATAGTTTTACAGTGGTGGCTACTCATATTAAACATGGGCAGCTTCAATCATATGGGAGCCAAAAGCTCAGCTTCAGGCTGCTCTGAGTGTTTAGCTTCAGGCAGTTTTTACTAGAAGTTGGCAGATCGAGCCAAATGTCCCTGGATTGATACTAGCGTGAAAGCACTGGTACTTTGTTTCTTTCTCATGAGTTCAGTATGTAGCACACTGTGTGTTGTGTTAAATAAATTATTTATTTATACATGCACTATGAAAAAAGTATGAACTTTTTTTTTGTGTTGACTGTCACATTTATTTTATTTATAGCCTATAGCACATTTAAACAACAGAAATTCACCCGAGGCGCTTTAGAGATGGGCACATTTTCATTTCAGGTCTTCAAAAAAACTGAGTTTCAAAATACATGAAAACCTCAAAGGTGCATTTTCTTGTGTTAACTTTTTGAAAATCACAGTGGTCTTTAAAATATTCAGAATTTGCAAATTGTTGATGTTTCATTTCATAAATCATGAGAGACTGCTCTCCCCTAAATATCCTGCTTTTAAAGCTTAAAAGTGTCCTTACTGGTATTTGTATTGGCAGTGCTGGTCTTAGTTTAATGATGATTTAGCCAATCAGAAGAAAGTTGGCTTAAAAGGTGAAGCGCTAAAAACTGATTGTTTCAGACAGAGGATGGACTCGATAGGCTGCACTAAGATCCAGGATATGATAAATATCATTATTTTGAAATGTGAACAATGCAAAGCTACATTAACAAAGTCCAAGAATAATAATCTGGAGTTGGAAAAGGGCCCTTAAAGTGTATGTGGTTAGCACCAGAACTTAGCAAAAGAAAAGTTATAAAAGAAAAGCTAATCTGATGGCTAAATTCAAAGCATGTGCACCACATGGGCTAAAATGTCCTTAGCAGCACATGTTTGACTTCTAGCTAGCTGGTAGGACTGCATGTCATGTCACGGCTGTCTCCTGCTGTGTTTCCTGTCTGTCTCTACTGCAAAAATGACCAAAAAGATGAAGAAAGGTTTCTCCTCTGACGGGCATGTTTTGAAATTTTGTTGCCTAAGCTTGTGCCACTCGTGCATTAGCCTAAATTCAGGTCACAGGGCTTAACATCCTCACAAGCCCAACAATTAATTTGGCAGCAAACACTCACCCAGTTCTGGCAGTATTTCTAGAAACACTCTTCTAACATCTGGATATGAAACAAACTCATCTGATCTTGGGAAAAAAAGAAACTAGCAGCAACCCAAGTAGTGGACTCTAACCTAGACATTTATAATAAAACTAATCTTCGATTGAAAATAATCCATCTGTAAGTAATGTTTAAAAAAAGGTCAAATTATAGTGATAAATAAATTACATATGTAGTATTAAACAGACTAAATGTGGCAACTGTAACAACAGTGAGTATTTATTCAGGCTTTTGTGTTTCATGACTGGTAATTAAAGATTTCAGGTTGGGGTTTGATGGTCACATGAAAAAGAAAGTTTTCATATGACTCTGTGTAGTCCTGTAGAAACAGTGCACCCAGAAGACGTAAGAGTTGCAGCAAGGCTGCAAGTCAAATGTATTTGATTAATTGCTCAACAACAAGTGTGAGCAGCTCAATAAAAGCAGATGTTTTGGCAGTTTACTGCTCTAGAGCATTCAGGTGTGTGCTAAGATAACGTTGCAATCTTCTCAGGAGTGGATGTTCCAGCAAGTTCGAGGTCAGACCATGCAATGCTCAGAGAAATGGTAAAAACCCAAGAACTACATCTCTGAATCTACAGGCCTCAGTTAGTTAAAGTTCATGACATTTGATCAAGAAAAAGACAGAATAGTGGCTTGTTTAGAAGGATTGCCAGGAGAAAAGGCTCTTGTCTAAGCTCGGCTCAGGTCTGCAAAGTTACATGTGAACAAACCACAAGACTTCTGTCTTGTCACATCTTGTCACAATAGGGCAGCTGTCAAGCATGGTGGAGGAGGGGTGATGATTTGGGCTTGTTTTACGGCCGAAAGGCCTGGGTACCTTGCGGTCATTAAGTCGAACATTAATTTCTCTGTATAGCAAATAGTTTGGCACAGCAGCAAATCACGAGCGAGACAGAAAACTGTTACCTGTTAGCACAGTGGCACAGTGGTAACCACACCCATAGGTGAGAATGCAGGAGTGAATGTGAGCACGAATGGTTGTCTGTCTCTGTGTGTTGGCCCTGCGACAGACTGGTGACCTGTCCAGGGTGTACCCCGCCTCTCGCCCTATGACAGCTGGGATAGGCTCCAGTGCCCCCGTGGAAGCGAATGGATGGATAGTTGGATGTTTTTCACTGACTCCATCAGTGTTGTTTATTCTAACTTTATTCTTTTGCATATTTCATCCAGATGAAATATACGTTGAGATAGAAACTATCAAGACTTTTATGTTACATTCAACAAACATACTGTAACTCTAAATAAGTAAACCACATATAATAGACTAACAATGACAGATTAAGACGATAAACAGCCTGTTAAGTCTTCCTAATCACAGATTTCCCACTTGGAACTCTTTCACCACTTTATCTAGTGTTTACTCTAGCACTTAGCAGTTTTATACAAATGTAATAGTGGGTTTACAAAGCTCGTTGCAAGGCAGTCACGTCGCAGTTTGCGTGCACTAATCCTAACATGCTGGGCTGCAGACTGCACTGAGATATCCTGTTGTTTGTTTTGGTTTTGTTTTGCTGCTCAGCATCCTCCAAGAACTACACAAACACATCAACTGGAAATCTAAAAAGTTGAGTAACTAATCTCTAATTGAGGCTCATATGGCCACAGTTGATTTGAACAAGTGTTAAATCCTGACTTTTTGTCACCGCTTGCTGCAAGGCCACCTGCAGACGGAGTCATTAAACTCGAGCTGTGTTGGTGATTGATTGTTATTCCCCTAATGCTCCATCAAAACAGTGAATCCTATCATGTCCCATGGTACTGAGCAATTGTATAATCACTGATTGTTGAAGAAAAAGTGACACCATCCTCAGACTACACTGGTGCGAAGCACAATCTAGTGTCACTGTGGTCTCCATAAATGTCACTTCAGCCCCACTAATTACATCCTTAACACATATAATGACCGTTTTCTACGGAGTGCGGAAAAATCTCTGAACCCCACGTGTTGTCAGTGAAGACTGACACTTCCCATATGATTTATTTATTTATTTAAGCACTTAGCGTTGTTGGTGTTGTTTAATTTAGTGCTTTTCCTCTGCTGCTTTTCGAGCTACTGAGTCTGTGAATTGCCTGAACTACATCAGGAGACATCAGTGGGAGGGATTCTCTGTTTGTATAGATGAATGCGTTTCTCCTTGGGGAAGTCAAATGCTTTTTAAAAATGCAAATCAAAGCCTGATGAGGAATCAGAGGAGGGCTTTAGAAGAGCAGGAAGCAGTGCAGAGATGAAAGTCTTTACAGGGACTTCAGCACGAATCCCCACTGGGACCTGCACAGATCTTGAGTCAGTGATTACACTGCATACTAAACTACTTCATAGTATGCATATGCCTGCGACTAAAAAAGCACGATCTGAGCTTATCTTTAATCTTACCATGTGTTACATATTTATATGTAAACCAGTGCCTCCATAATTTCCCCCTTGTTTACTTGATGTCAGCCACACTCTCTTTAAGCTATTTTGTTTCCTCCTGACCAATAATTATCCTTTTTTCTTGGTCTCCTGTCTAATTTGTGTTTTCTCCAGCCATCGAGCGGGGAGAGGGAGACCAGGGAGGGCTGGGTAAAGATTGACACCATCGCAGCCGATAAGAGTTTTTCCAAGGTGGAGCCCAGCTCACCTCACCAGTATCAGCCCAACAGATACAGCCGTATCAACATTAAGACACGCAGCTTTGCCCCCCTCACACGCAAAGGGTAATTGTTTCTGTACGACACTTTGTTTCTCATGATTTAAAAGCATCACTAAACCTTATGAATGCTCTCTGACCCCCTTCTTCTTAGATTTGTCTTGGCCATCGTCGACAGCGGAGCTTGCGTTTCCCTCATGGGGGTGTCTATCTTCTACCGCCGCTGTCCAGCCACGAGCCTCTACCTAGCTTCGTATCCACCGACTCCCTCGGGTGCCGAGCCAACTGCTTTAGTGCCTGTGACTGGGACGTGTGTCCCTCACAGTAAGGCACAAGGAGACACGCCCCCTCGCATGCACTGCAATGCTGAAGGAGAGTGGATGGTGCCCGTCGGTGGATGCGTCTGTGATGAAGGTTATGAGCCGAACCTCAATGGATCTGCCTGTCTGGGTGAGTCCGGTGGACACTGTTCAGGTTGACGGACACTAAAGAAATCAATGCTTCTTTGACATATGCTTTTATAAATGTCACAGAGCTGTGAGAGACAGATTTTAAGAAAGGTCAAAATCACAGATATTCTTTTATTTTTTCATATATTCTCTTAGTTGCTTGAATGGGACAAACATGATCTATTAAAGTAATCGTGTGGTGTTTCGGGTAATGCGCTTATTCAAAGCTGGCTGCCTGGCAGGACTCCAGGAGGTCACTGTGGCTGGTGAAGAAAAAATCTTGCTCGAAACATCTGATAAACCCACAAACTGCTGTTGCAATGCTTTGGTTCTAAACAACCTGAGCATTAATTTGTGAGTTTTAGAGGTAATGGTAGATGCAAAGAGCAAAAATTGTCGCCGTATAAAACTTAAGCTCCAGGCTTGATTTCCTGCCAGCTCTCCTTTCTTTTTCTTTCTTTTTTTGTGATATTTGTTGAGATAAGCATCTGGATCAATACTGAATGGAGCTGCTGTCACCCTGATACTCTGCTGTGCTTGATGTAGAGACCAGAAGGAGATGAGGGCAGACTGGTCAGGTCAGGATAAGATGAGATGAAGAAGGACGAGACAATCCAAGCAATGGATCTGGAGGGATTTAACAACTGCATCAGGCCTTTTAAGGACAAATACAGAGAAACTGTTAAATCAGAGGTACTATATTGACTGTTTACTGTTCCAGTGACTTTCAGTGGAGAGGCAGACCGATAATACTGAGGTCAGCATTTGCAAAACTGGTCAAAAAGTGTTGCGCTTTTGAAAGTGGGTGTAAATAGTAGGGGCAAGAAGTGGGGAAAAATTTGATAGATGTCCAGACGGACATGAAGGGATGCAGGGAGAGAGCAAGAGGAGGGAGAGAGTCATGGAGAGAGGGCTGTGACACATTTAGGTCATAGCGATGTAATGGCCACTCGTCTGTGAACAAGTGACAGAAACCGCAGGGGGAGAGAGAGAGTGGAGGGAAAATAGGGAGACGTGGAAGGAGAATGAAAGATAGGAGGATGCAAGTTAATGACTTTAAAGAACTGAGCAGGCAAAAAAGTACCGAGGGCGTGACGGCAGGGCTGTGCGACTGTCTTTGTGCGAATGTGTGAGTACACACAAGCGTATCTCGCCGGGACGCCGATGCTCACCCCGTCCACATACGTCTGAGGATTACAGTCAAAAAACTGTATTCTCACAGGAATTTCAACGACTGTAATTCCTCAAGTCTAACTAATGGCAGCGCAATTAATCCTCCAATCCTGCCAAGTCAGCTGTGAAATGTGTTCATGCTCTTTTTGCTTTACATCTGCACCCGACCTGCCACTTGCGTTTGTCTCTGTTTGATTGATATCTACTGACAAATCACTCCTCGAAGCTGCTCGGCCGCCGGAGCAAAGACTTTTCCAGTGACTGTCTCTGAATGATCAAACACGTTGCGGCTTTCTTTCTTTCCTTTCTTTTTTTAATGATTATGTTTTGTTGGTCACTTCACTGACTAATGATGTGGATTGGCATCATTGCATTGTTGTCCTCTCTGCCTCCCTGGGAACGTCGAGAAAAGAGGCAGATGGTTAACTGCCAACGCAGCCGTCAACGATTATTAACAGTAGCTGATCCTTGTTCTCTTTGGAAACTGGAGCATGAACTTCATTAACTCCAACAACTTGTACATTTTGTTCTTGTTTAAATTAAACATCAAGGCTATTTAATAGTAACGCAAAGTGAGCAAATTATCAGCTGTGCTGCACTGAATTATTGGTTTGAAGCTGTATGTTTTTTTTAATGCTGCTGGCACTTTAAATACAGGGAAAAAGCACTTTAAGAAGTTGACTGACACTAATTTCCACTGCCTTCAAGTGTCCAGTCTTAACTAATATGCCCATGCATTTCATTAAATGCATTTCATTTTAACTTTCACAAAAATTTGCATTACACTTGCTATTTAAACTCCTACAATGTAAATGAATGCTGTTGGAAATCCACGTGACAACCACACACTCAGGCTTGTCGCCTCAAGCAAGACATCATTTTTAGGGGCACATAGGAGATGATCAGATCCCACCTCTCAGTCTCATGGGAAAATTACGATCGGTGTTAAATGATTGCCTTTAACTACATGCAGCACTAATAGCTTTTTATTTTTAGATTCAAGGCAAGATTATGCATTCCTTTATTTGCAAAACCAGATTAATATGGCAAGGATGTAAGTTTCTTAAGTGTGGTCCATATGCATTTTGAAGTGCATGGCTTCATGGATGTCCATTTTTTGAAAGATTTGATAAAACTATTAAATGGATTGCTAAAATATTTGTGCACACCTGACTACATAGTGGGTATTTTTTTCAAATGAGAGGACAAAAGAAAACGAAAGAATAGTTTTTAAAACTCCTTTAAAAGTTTTTTTGGGTACAGATATAGTTTTGTGCAGTGCCACTAGTCACTCATATGAGGTGCAATCAAAAAGGTTAGAGGCTGGGCCTGTTGGCAGAAACTATAAAAAATATATGCCTGCTATCTGCTTCAAGGTCGTAATCTTGTGCAGCAAAATATGTTTTGATTGGAAGACCTGTTCTGGCCACTTGCAGTTGTGCAATCGCATCACACACTGGATCTCGACCACTGTGTCAAAAAAAGCACTTCAAGTCAAATTTCATTGTGGGAAAAGGGGAAGGGGTTGTAGGGAGCCACATTCTTTGAATAGGGCAGATGATGAGTAATGGTCTTGGTTGATTTCAGTCCTGATGTGCTTTCTTTGCGCTGCAGACTGCAGCTTTTTCTAAAAGTCTCTGTTTATAACTGGATCTCTCATTCCTGGTGATGATCCTTCAAAAGAAGGTCAGGTCAGTTTGACTGTGAAGATCTGTGGCAGAGTCACAGATGCATATGTTTAAGTGGTCAGAAGGAGACTTTGAAGGAGATGGCAACCATAACTTTTAGTCGCATAAGGTTTTCTCTTTGTTATAGAGCCAGTTACATACATTTTTAATCACATCTCTTAGTGAGAAACTGACTGAAAAAGTAGGTTTATTTGTTATTAATAAGAGCTGCATCTTGTGATGTTCTCCCAAAGTCAGATCTATTGTGAAACCATTTGTCATTGCTATGGGTTTAAAATAAATCCCTGGTGAGAGACACTCACCACAGGCATCATAGTTCAGTCGGTTTACTGCGGGCATGATGCTTGATTATTCTGTTTTTTCAGGCTCACCAAAACAACACTCCGACATTTGGACCGATGATAAATTGAGAATCCAACTGAAAAATCAGACACTTAGAAAAACACAGCCGGCCCTTTGGCAGACAAACATTAAAAGATAATCCCTTGATTATTTATGAGCTTGTTTATCACAAGTAAGTCTACAAGAACACTCAAGTTCTATATGATCACTAAAATAGTCAGAAGTCAGTTCAGGATAAAAACTCATCTGGAGTCTTTTATAAAACGATAAGAACAGAGGCAGACGTCACGCAGCAGCTGTCTGCTGTTATTTTATTTTTCTGCCAGGCGGCATCAGGACGTTTTTCTCCTTTGACATTTGCATCCCACAAGGGAGACAGAGACGTAGAGAGGACAGGCAGAAACATGACCGAGCATAAGCCACAGTTACACCTGTTCAGCCAAACATGAAACAGTTCTGTAGTTTGAGGCAGCTTGAGTTGGTCCCTGCTGGATGTGCATCATCCTCAGATACACGCCTTCTGCTTGAGTCCCCTTAAGCGACTGTTGATGGTTTAGGACAAAGATTATTGTGGCGGATGCTCAGATAGAGCTTTGAGCTTACTTGAAGCCATGTTGATATTTTATGTGGCGTGAGACTACGTCCTGAAATATTCAACATGTCAGTTTGTCCTGATTTTTTGCCCAGAGCCCTTACTCTCAGCACAGACACATCCACCAACTACCCCGAGGCAGGTTGTGGTGTTAAACAAGAACATTTGGCCAGGGGAGGACGTACGAGTGCAAGTGTGACATTATTTTGAGTCTGCTTTAGTCCCAAACAGACACTCTTCACCAAATAACAAAGTAGATAATCGTCTCATAGAATATACCGACTACATTTTCCCAGTTGCAGTTGTGTCCACTTCTTCATCAAGCCGTCAGTAAGCCTACTCATCAGCAGCGCTGGAATTCAATTGACTTTCCAGTCTATTAGTAAAGGTCAAGTACTGAGAGAAACGCAGTTGAGTGAAATGATCAATGACGTACTGTATCGACTGGGCTGTGGAGTGTTGACATGCGGCGGTGATAAATCAGCTTGAACACATACACATCATATCAAATCAATCGCTACATGAGTCAAAACTCTGCTTTACGATGGTGTTCATTATATTTCACAGGGCAGTTTAGTGGAGAAATTCTCATTATTACAATTTTTAAACATTCATGTGAAATGGGGATGCTGGGCTCTCAAAAACTCTCACGTGAATCCGCACATCCTCCAGCTTTATGAAACTTTATCACAGCAAATTTCAGAGTTCAGTTCATTGCCACGTCTCCTTTTTCAGTAAAAAAGCCACTGTACACTTTCTGCTCGGCACCAAACGGGCATGTAGACACACTTAGGGGCAGTCTGGCAAACCTATTGGAGCATTTAGCAGCTAAAAGGCCCAGAAAAGGCCTCCTGGGAAATGGTTAAAAAAAACAGCAAAAACAGAGCAGAAGAGACAGAAACATGACTGCAAATTGCTAAATGTGGATAGTAATAACTAAAAGAAATGTTTTGAAAGAATTAAAATGATCCCTGTTAAGTCAGAAACGGTGCTGAGCTGTCGTGATTATTAGGCTGAGAGCTCAAATCTTACAGGGGCAGATGAAGGCCCAGGGAAGAGGAAACAAGACGTCAGCACGCTGAAAATTTAATGTGTGAAGGTCTTAGGTAAATATCACAGCTCCAACAGCTCCAACAGCTCCAACAGCTCCACCTACAATTAGGGTAATTTGCATTATGTAAGATCCATTTTAGTGCACACTGTTGT